CTAATTGAGGAGACTGACCGGTTGGCCTGAAAAAGAAATTATTTGCGATTTTCCTGATCCGATAACCCTACTCAACGACTTTTGCTTTGCTTACTAATTGAAATATTTTTTAATTATTAATTGCTCTTTATAATTAACTATTTTACATTTTCTTGTTTTCTATTGATTCTTATGTTAAGCATGTTAATGTTGTTGTAATTTGTAGTGATTCAACGTCTCTTGGTTTCAATTCATAAGACACCCAATTTCTTTGTTTTTGAATCATTCCCATGGTTTTCAATCGTACAAAAACGGTTTGTTGAGTTACTCCCAATGATTCTGCAAGCCTCTTGCGTTTGACTCTGATCTTTTTCGAGTAATGCCTTTAATTCTTTGTCTTCGAATTTTTTTGGCTGTCCAGAGCGAGGCTTGTCTTCAACGCTGAAATCTTCATCCTTGAAACGTCGAAACCATTCTCTACATGATTTATCAGTTGGAGCAGTGTCACCATAAACTTCGACAAGCATTCGATGGGTTTCAGCTGCACTTTTCTTCCCATTAAAACAGAAAATTAAAACCTCCCGCAAATGCTGCTTGGTTAACACATTCGACATTTCAAACACAGTAAAAATCAAGGTTTTTGTATGAAACTCAAAGCGATATAAACTGAATATTAACTTGGAAAGAAAAGGGCACTAGGAGTTAAGCGTAGATAACTTCACGCTGAATATTATTAGCAGATGTCTAACCTCTCTAAAACCGCCAAAATCAACTGTCACTATAAACCATTCACAACAGCCGGAGCCATCTTTTGGAAAACGTACCGAACTAATTTGTACTCCTAATATTTATAAAGTACATATAAGAAACAAAACAAAACATTATCATTTGAGACCCTTACAATTAGAAAAAGTTAAATCTTTTTTTCATCAAAAAAGCTACCTTTAGCTCTTAACATTTTTGACTACTCTAGGCATCCTGTTGATCAGATTTTGCAAAATAATTGGTTCTATTGCTTGCGTAAGGCTTCTAACTTTCTATAAATGTTTTCACGTTACAATGACACAAAAGAAACATAGCGGAAATATTTGCAAACACACGGACAAACATACAGCGGAATGGAAATTGAAATCACTGATGTCAACTAAATGCTTTTTCCAAAGGTTCGTAAGGGTCAAATGATAATGTTTTGTTTTGTTTATACTTTATAAACAAATATAATGTTTTCTTTGATCGAATATCCATGTTTGTCTTACTTTAATTTCTGCCAATAAAGATTAACTTTAATCTCGGTTTAACTTACTGTTTATCTTTTTTTAATTTTTACAACTAGAAAAAGACAAAGAGTAAATTGAACCGAGATTAAAGTTAATCTGCAATTGGTGGAAATGGGCATTAAACATTTTTATCCTTATACCATAAGTATGCATGGTGTCTAAAGATTTTTGACTGGCAGTGTACATACACATTCCGCGAGCGAAGAGTATTGTAAAGGAGATTTCCGAGGATATATCCCGAATAATATGCGATGTGTGCGATTGCGCTTTCCATAGTACATGAATTATGTTAATAAATGTCGGTTTGTTGATAGTCACTTATCTAATTTAATTGGAGTGATCTCTTTAAATCCATTAGACATTACCTGTTTCTCTTTCCGTTTTAGCTACATGAATTGATTTGTTACAAAAAACCAAAACAGCTCTCTCCCCTGAATGCTCTCCTGGGGGTCAATCACGTACCTTTTCCCCTAGGGCGGAAACGTGAAAAGTGAAAATTTTTTGCATGTATGTGTGTATATGTTCATACATACATTCATAAAAGTTTTCACTTTTCACGTTTCCGCCCTAGAGAAAAAGTTACGTGATTGACCCCCTGAAGTGACAGCTGAAAAAGCCTCATATATTGCCACTTGAATATTACCATAGGTGCTTGAATTAATTCTCGCTGATGATCGGGAGAGGTCAGTATTTGTGCTGTTTCAACATGGCCGAAAGTGACTGCTTATGTATATGAAAGTACTATCAATATTTTAATAATTAATATATAACATTTGATCAGATGTAAAAAAAACTTCATTTTTTATCACATTAAAAATGTAGGGATTTGTACCAAAAAATCCTACATATTCGGGAAGCTTAGTTTTCTGTTTTAACTTTAAGAAATCTGCTGTTGAAAGTCATCGTTTGCTAGTGGAGGCTTATGGGGAGCACGCTCTATCTGAAACAACTTGCAGAGATTGGTTTAGAAAATTTAAAAACAACGTTTTTGATGTGAATGATCAAGAAGATTCATGTCAAACGCTCAGAGTTGTCGGAAACATTAAATGTCGATGTGTCAACCGTTAGCAAACGTTTAAAAGCAATGGGAATGATCCAGAAGTTAGGAAATTGGGTCCCACAATTGAGAGAAAGAGACATTGCGAAACGTTCAAGCATTTGTGAATTGCTGCTCCAAGGACAAAAACGGAAGTCGTTTTTGAATCGAATTGTGACCGGCGATAAAAATGGATTTGTTACGACAATCCTAAACGCAAGAAATCATGGGTACGTCCTGGCGAATCATCAACATCAACGCTAAAACAGGATATACATGGAAAGAAGGTTATTCTGTGCATTTGGTGGGATCAAGTCGGTGTCGTGTACTATGAGCTGCTGCAACCGAGTCAAACCATCAGTGGTGAATGCTACTGACGTCAATTTATACTCAATTTGGAAGAACTCAAAGAAAAACGCCAAAAGATATGATAAAGTTATTCTTCTCCATGACAACGCCAGACCACATGTTGTACAACTAGTAAAGGAAATCTTAGATGCACTTGGATGGGATGTCTGATCTCACCCGCCCTATTTACCAGACGTTGTTCCATTAGATTACGATTTGTTTCGGTCGATGCAGTATGGTCTTTCTCAGCATCACTTCAGTTATTTCGAAGATATCAAAAAATGGCTCGATGACTGGATCGCCTCGAAAGAACCTGAATTTTTCTACCGCGAAATCCATTTGTTATCCGAAAAGTGGGAAAAGGTTATAGCTTTCGATGGACAATACTATGAATAAAATATCAAGTACCTTTTTGATAAAATAAACACTAGTTTTTTAAAATTAAAAACAGCGAGAATTAATTCAAGCGCCTAATATAATAATATATAATAATTACTTATACAAAAAATTGTGTGTAAATAATTATTACATATTATTATATAAATGTTTGTATAAAATTCATTGAATTCCGCATGTTTGTAATGTAAAAATAACATGTTTGTAATGTAAAATTCAACATGTTTGTAATGCAACGTTAATTATACTTCACAATGTAATAAATGTTACTTCAATCTTCTTAAATTCTTCCATTCCAATATCTAGAGAGTAAATTTTATGTAGCATCGCCTGTAAATTGTTTAAATTGATTAACGATTTAATAAATTATTTAATGCTCTTTTGGCGTCTTATATCGATGTTTAACGACGTTAAAATCTGAAAATAATAATTCTTATTGCGAAAAATATTACCTCGGCTGGGAGACGAACCCGGATCGCTTGCTTTACGCTCAAGTGTCCTAGCCAATTAGACTACTCTATATTAGTATATAAATTCACGCGAAATTATATATAAATAACTAAGATCCAAGCAGACTGTTATAGGCTTCGTATTCGTATTAATTATGTTCTTACATTGACGGTCTTTAGTTTTGAATATTGTTAAAAAAAACATTTTAAAGCTTGAAATCTCTTTTCAGACTGGTACTTTAAAAAATGGTCTTACTGATATCTCGTGAAGTTACATAAACTATAATTACCTTTAATTTGCTTTTTATCCGACCTTCGTACGATTTTTTTCACCGAGTTATGCAACTGGGAGAAAAAAATCGTACAAAGATCGAAAAGAGAGCAAATTAAAGATTCAGACTTTCGAAAGCTGTAAACCGCATTTGTGCACAATTTTTAGTCTGCGCCATGGAACTTATCAAATTTCGTAAAAAATTTTAAGTTTGACGCATCTTCATTTATGCTTATGTATAATAATTTCACGAGATATCAGTAAGTAATCATTTTTTGAAGTACCGGTCTGAAAAGTAGAGATTTCAAGCTTTAAAATGCTTTTTGAAACATGTCCATACGATTATTTTTGATGAAGTTATCTTATCTTGAAATTTGCCTATTTTTGCAGGGTGAAACAGATGATGCTTAAATTTTGTTGAGTAGTGTATATACGATCCTGTCTAAACAATCAGAAATAAACTGTAATGTTCAACACTGTTGATAGAATTTAAGCATATTATCGCATATATAGACATGTCTGCGCTTATCGTTCTGTATTATGTAGTTTATATGTACATATGTACGTTGCCCGTTCTTCCCCCTGAGATATTTAGATTTTTTTTTAAAGAATCCTCTTTCCTTTATGCAGTTTCGTTTTTTTGGTTTATTCTATAATTCTATTTTTAATTATGTGTCATGAACGGCTTCACACGCGTAAGCATGATTATTTACACAACCCATATTAATCTCTTTCACACGTCGTGCGAGTATCGAAAAAAGCAAGTTCGAAATCAGCTCGAAATGGGAAATCAATTTTTTTCCCCTTACGATCGCAAATGGCAGTAACGTTGCGCAAAATAAATTCGTTATTCTTATTACAATTACACACGCCTACATAATCGATGGCAGTATAAGTTCCGAGTAGTTTCCGCGTCGTGTTCGTACGTACTATTCTTCGTCATTTCTCGCACATATTTACATGCAAAATATGCATAATTACTTTGCACTAAAATTTCCTATTGCATCCATCGCATGAATGTATTCATTAACTCGACGCGTCGTCGGTCACTTACACGGCGCGTTCACTACAACACGTTAATTAATGGCCCATTAAGTTTACATAATAACTGCACGTACATTACATTGCACAGCTCGAGATACGGTATGCACGTACATGCACCAGTCACTTTGCAGTCGATGATATCCCAGAGAGAATTAATGACAAATATCCGCGGATACGTATCGCTAGCGGATAATCCTAATCTGAATATGTCGTGTAAATACTTACATAAAAGGCCAAGTTATATACAAGTTTCTAACACTAGGCGACTTTGCGTCGGGTCTCAGAAAGCTTCCACAAAACTAGCTGGAAATAGCCCCGTGCGACCGGTACGCTGCTGCATACCTTTGTACCATCCATCGTCGCGTTTCTTCTGCACATATATTATGTCCCCCACACGAAGCTCCAGCTCAAACTCGCTATTAGGTGGATACGGTACAATACAACGGAATCTGTATCCCGCGCTGAAATTGAACATAGTTATCATGAAATAACAAAGACTACTATAATCTTATGACTGACGGGCGATGAGTTAACGACTGTTAAATTTGAAGATTATACGTACCGATCGCGAGACGATTGCTGCTTCATTTGTTTTCCCATTCCAGCGTCTAACGAATTACTCTTGCGATGATGATTTCCAACAGTCGCACATTGCACCATTGTACCAGATTCATTAGATCTAGGTAGGATTAAAAATATGTAATAAAATATGTAATAAAACTATCGTTACAAAACATTGCGATGGCAATTTATTATATAAATACAAAATATAATATATGAAATGCTTATATATCAGACGATTTAGCATCACACAAGCACAAATAAAAATAACACATATTATCAGCAAAAAAAACTATGTAACAAATATTTAATCACAGTTATTTATTACAGTTATCACATTGGGAATTTTCTAAACATGCAAAGTATCTGCACAATCACAATATTTGTCTAACTCTCAAAATTAGTATGTAAAATAAAATTTATCTTGTGCAAAAGAGCGTGCTACAATTCAGTGATATAAGAAAAACGACTATTAACATTATGCAGCTAATATCAAATAAATTGTATAAATGTAGTCTACATTTTTTTAAATTTACCTTCAAACGAAATGCAGTTTTACCTATTTATATTTCAATAAAATATAAATACTAAAAAAAAACAACCAAGAAAACGAGTACGATAGAATTCTCAAATATGTATATTAACTTACACATAGAGCATGTTTTCGCCGTAAAAATTAAGAAATGCGACCGCTTAAATATAAAAATATAAAGATATTAATTTTATATAAGATTTTTATCAATACAAATAATGTATCATCCTGTATTTTCATCAAAAATATATTACATATATTATTAATTGTTATCAAATATCGCAGCTTTTCTAATGTCATTGAAAAATGATTGTTCCTTTTATATTTAATTATAATTGATGGCAAAAGAATTCCGCGAATTTCAAGTCGTTGGTTCATATTTAGGATTACAAATGACTAACCTCTGCGTTATTGACACTGGTAAGGAGGGTCTCTCCTTGTATTTCAATCTCTGTGAGGATGTGACGTGCCCTTGCACAGAGCCCGGACATAAGCGGTGTGGACTGTTTGAAGCATTTAATTCCTGTGTGGGTATCACCTGTAGCAACTGACTTGGGCAAGATCCTGATCTGCGATTGTCAATTTGTCCCACCCATCCCGTCCCAACACAACATTAGAGAAACATTTCAAGGCGTGCAGTTTGTGTCATGCCGCACATTACATTATTTGTGAGTGGCTATTCAGCCAATTAATCTATCTACTCTATACATGTGCATAATTATTGACGATGCAACGATCATGCAACGATCTTGGCAAAAAAGAAAAAAATAGAGCTCTTATTTAAACATTTAAACTAACACTTTGACAAACATTCATACGCGCACATATAAATTGCTTGACAATTCGAGAATACGATTTTTGTAGTGTACACAATAAATGCATGTATGTGCATACAAAAAAAAATTAGCGGGATTAAATGAGAGATATATATTAAACAAAATCAATTATCAGAACGTGCAAATTATATCACTGTTTTCGACTTGTAGTTTATAATACAGATTGTACACACATACGAGTATGTATTCATAAGTTCGCAATAATCTAAATTAATCATCTACTCACCGAACGTGCATCGGATTGACGGAATTACCGTCGTCGAATACAGGATTATCCATCGAGTACGTAGCAGGTGGAGGTGATTTAGACTTCTTAATATTGGTCAAGCGGCGCATCAATGAAACGCATTTATCCTTCTTTTCTTTCGTCTGCAATAAGTGGATATATGTGAGCAATTACATTATTGGAATAACGTATAGAAATATTTATCGCAGAAATGATACCTTTTCTGTGGTTTTAGACGCAGACGTGGCTGCATTCGACGATGCGGTACCGCTCGCTACACGCAGAGTATTGTTCGGGCTTCTGTTCATGTCGCCTATGGAGGAGGAAGGAGCGGAAATGGTAATGCTGCTACAGCCATTGTTAGCATTATTAATGCCCGCTGCTGGTTGTAACGATGACGACACAACGATTTGTTTACCGGGGGAAGCTGAAAAGAAACGTCGTACAATTGTAACGTCAATGAAAAATATAATCCAATGTGATTCACGTAATGTACATACGAATATTTGCCGTCATCACTGCACTGTGACTGCGTCCAAGTGGAGTGGCATTCTGATCGTTGTGTCGGGGCGGATTAGTTTCTTGATTCGGTCCCTGATTGGACTGAGCGGCGCCATGCCAGGACGAAGACACGGTTGTCGTGGATGGGCTAATGGCACGCGGCGGTAATTCAGGCGGCGGCAGTGTACGAGGATTGTACGGTTGTGGCGCGGGGCCCTTGTTCTTCGTGTACGTTACCGCCAAGCGCGACTCAGTATTCGATGGAGCGTTTGATAGTGGCGAACCTTGGTGTTGACTCGGTGAGTTTGGAGATCCCCGGCACAGCCCGCGTTGACATCTGCTGCAAAGTATATCAAAGACTGAAACTTAGGAATGACCAGACTAACGACACGAGACAGAGATCAGAACATAAATGCTTACTTGGCAGGTGCAACGTAATTTCCAGGAAAAACTCCGCACTTCTGGGTACGATTGGACGTTCCCTTAAACCATCCGTCCTGACAGCGTTCCGTTACCATGTAAATTCCACCCTTTCGTAATTCAAGCTCATCTGCTTTTTGGGGCTTGTAGGGATACAACGCTACATATGCCGCTGGCAGGTGTGTCAAAGTGGATGCGCTAGTAGTAGTCTGGCCAGCAGATATACTTTGTGACGCCTGAGCAAGAACAAGATCGCTGCTGCCACTTCGTCTGTGACGAAGATTGTGATCCGTGCAACTACCGCTCGTCTATAATAGAACAAAATTTATTCAAATTTAATATTAATGCCCATTTCCATCAATGCAGATTAATTTTAATCTTGGTTCAATTTACTCTTCATCTTTTTCTAATTCTAAAAATTAGAAAAAGATTAACAGTAAGTTAAACCGGGATTAAAGTTAATCTGCATTGGTGGAAACAGGTATAAGAAATACAAATACGTCAAAATACAAAAGTAACAGAAATTGTTAGAGCAACATGATTTTCCTTACTTGCAAGGAGGAAAATGACTCATTGGCTCCACTATTATTGGTGTTATTAGAGGCACTGTCTACTGGAGGACTGAGTATTTCAGCGCTATGTCTATGATGGGGATGTGCATGATGACCTGTATTGACGGCAGTGAAACTATGACGTTTAACATTATGCCTGTTGCCGACCGCGGGCGGTGACGTTGCAGGACTACCGGGACTGCTCGGAGCAGTACTGGAACTACTGGATGTGGTCGAACTGTTGGGGGTATTTGGTGTAGTGGTTGTAGAGCTACCGCCAGATGATATGTTTGAGACAGAATCAGATACCTGTAACGTAGCGTTCTATGCAATATAATATTAAAATATATGTCTCACAAAACGCATCTCATGTTAAACTTGTAAAGAATGTTTTCTAGGAAGAAACACAAATGATATAATAATACAGTAAATCATTTCATCTTCGTTTAATATAGCAAATAAGCAGGGCTGGGCATGTATTTAAAATACTTTTATTTGAAAACGATAATTGTAAGACAATTGTATCGTGTATTTTGTATTTCAACGGCGTACATGAAAATATTTTGCATTTTATATTTTATGGAAGTATATAAAAGTATTTTATATTTTGTATTTCGGTATTAATAATAAAAGATTGAAAGTATTTTGTATTTTAAATACTAAGATATTGAAGATTAATGTTATTATTTAAGTTAAATTACGAAGTACATAAAGTTTTTAATCTTTCAATTTTAAATCTAATACTTTCATGTACATCGCTGAAATATAAAATCTACTTTTATCGCGAAAACTGTGTTTTAAATAAAAGTATTTTAAATACATGCCCAGCTATGCAAATAAGAATATGATTCACTGTGTCACTTATCTCTTGACGAAAAGTATCTGTATGCTTAAAATATGTACCTGTACCAATTGCGGTCGAGACTGACTTGTTGTTTGCACATTACGGGAATGGTCGGTTGGTATTAATGGTGTGGTTTCTTCGTTTGTTGGAGTTGGTGGAGCTACTCTTGACGGTCCCGGCTGTACACTGATTAAAATATTAATAAATACATATTTACTTAAAAAAAGAAAAATATGACAATTATATTAACCAATTGTTCTACTTACTTGGTTGAGAGTTTCATCAAAGCTCTAGCAACGCTGTTTAGCTCAACAAATGCCAGTGGAAAGATGCCAATTCTGTCTAAAAGTTTACCTTCTGCCCAATTTTCATCTACTCTTCGGATAACGCTGATAACTTCTCCCTAAGAATACATTGATTTTTAAAAAATATCAAAACATAACAGGACTACGAGCCATAAGTTAATATTAAATTAATAAAGTAAAAGAATTTAATTTAAATATAAAAATTTAATAATATACTGTGTATGTGAAGACAAATTAAACAATAAAAACATAACATATGAAACAAATAAACAAAACAATAAAGGCAAACGTTTCGATCCCTATCGGGTCATTATCAATGCCATTTTATATAAAAGTTAGAAACAAAAAAGACGCATATCGAACAGAAAATTGTTTTAAACAGAGAGACAATTATATAATTACAGACGTGGACGCTCGCCATCTCTCTCACATGTCGCATGTCATCAAATTTCGGTTATTGTGAATATTGAAAGTACATGTAACGATACTTGTCTGCGCAAGAGACTCGAAGTAATATCTTATTTTTTGTGACATGAATTAAATTCATAATTTTTGATGATGTGACAACAGAAACAAAGTAATGTTGTCAGTTCTGTTACCGAGACAGTTTAAATTACATTGATTTTTGTACATATAAATATTCTGTTACCAAGACAGTTTAAATTACATTGATTTTTGTACATATAAATATGACAGTGACGTACTATTAAAATGAGATGCAAAACTACCTTGTTAAAAGTTAAACAACCATCCTCGTCGTCATTTGTCATCCTAAAATCATATAGCGCTTTACATTGAGGTACATGCGGTGTCAAAGGCGTCATCACCTGGAAATTGTGATAAAGCAAATTAAGTGACTAAGTCAAATTCGCAGTATTTAATATAGTATAACAGTCGATATTTCAAGATGCTCGTATTATACCTGAACGTAAGATAAAGGAAAGACACCATGATTATTGCCACATTCTCCGAAATACCAATTGTTGTCAATTTTCTTCCGAAGAATGACTATGTCACCCTTCTTGAAACTCAAGTCGCTACAAGAACAATAACATTTATATAGTAAAATAAGAAAATACACAAATCAATCTTGATTGTACAGCTTACGAATATCTCTAAGGTTTACCCTGGCACTTTGGAGACATAATCGTAGATCGCTCTTCCGTACGCCTGATTATGTAGATGCACCTGCTTGGCAGCCGCATTGGAATGTCGCACTGTCGGCTCGGAGGCAGGCGCGAGATTGCCGGTGACGATAGGCGCCGGAGCGACCTGGTGACCGCCGAACAACCGTTGAGGCGCGGCAGTACCGCCCGAGGATCTCGATGACGGCAACGAGGACTTGGCCTGGTTCTTCGGCGCAGCGTTGCGCATCCCCTCGAGGATACGCATCAGCAGGACGTTCGGCGGCAGGTCGTCCACCTTAGCGTCCACGAGGACGCGGCATTCGGGGCAGCGTAACTCGCGGTGGGTGCTGACGATCTCCTCCAGGCACTTCTTGCAAAACGTGTGCTGGCACGGCAGCACCTTGCTAGACGTGTCGAGCCGCTCCAGACACACCGAGCACTCCAACAAGTCGTTCAGCATGCACTCGTCCATCGTGGAGCAGAGTCCCTCGATTCGTACCTTACAGTCGTGTACCTACTCCGACGTCCTCGTCGTCGCTGCCCTTAAACTCAAGCTCTATCGAAACGTACCTCCCTCTCCCTCATTTAACTCACCCAATTGTTTCCTCTTACTCTTTCACTCTTTCGTTCTTCCCTCGTCATTGCTCCCCGCCTTCAGTCCATCTCTATCTATCTCTCTCTCTCTCGAGCACCCACGAGCCTTCGTTAAGAAGAGAAACAGACTATCGTATATCGGACTGCAGTTCCGGCACCGTGCGTTACCGTCGGGCGCAGGAATTCAATTCGCTTTTACTTCTTCGTTCTCCCTCCTTCTGTTCCCCTCTCTCACTCACTCTCTCTTTCTCGCTCTATCCTGCTCTATCCGCCCTTCGCACTCGCTCGAGGGAAGGTGCGCGCCGCCTCGCGTTCCGTCGTACCTCCGGAATACGCACACTGCTACTATTCGCTCGGTCAATCGACAGTTTGATTAACGACGTCGCGGCTGTCGCACGACGGCGGCACGTAGCGGCACGGCCTCGGCGCGCATCGCGGTCACGCCGCCATCGATCACTCGCGCACGTCGTCGATGTCGATTCCGCGACACCGCCGTCATCCTCCACGCCGACAAGCCCAACGGCGACGTTACCCGAACGTTGACTCCTCCGTCGACTCTCCTCTGTTTCGTTCGCGGCGTTTCCGCTTCTTTCTCCTTCTCTCTTGCCTCTCGCTTTTTTTCCCTCTCTCCCGTTTTTTAAAAGTCATTCGCCTTGCACGCAGACCGGTGTGTACGCGCCCTAGTCGCCAGATTGTATGTTACATACATACGCACGCTACTTTAAAGGCCATCATAGGCCTTCTACAATAAGCCGTCAGTCACAAATCATAAGTCATAAGCTAGAAATGGACCAATCATAGTCGTCAATTTTTAGTTTCTTACTTCCGATTTATGACTTATGGCTTACGCGGGGAGCACAGCTTTTGCATAACGCATAATACATATACATAAAGAATTTGATTGGTCCATTAACTCATGCATAAGAAAATGGGCCAATGAAATTCCTTATGCACATGCTTTATGCATTATGCAAAAGTCTGTGCTCCCCGCTTTATTGTAGAAGGTCCATCACACGTACAAAAATTTTAGTAGTATCGTAAGGTCATAAGCAAATCGACCAATCACAACAAGATTACGATCTCACATTTTAATACGCTAAACTGTGATTGGTCGATTTGCTTAAGACCTAAAGGTGCTTTTTCATGCGCAGCACGCTGCAGCAGCAATTCGTTACTATTGGTTAAGAATTTTATGTAAGCTAGATGACGCACTTCCGGCGCAAATACATTTTGCCGCAGTTCGTTGAAGTTGAACCGAACGAACAGCAAGCAGCAAGCGGCAAAATCGAGAAAGCGTACAATATGTCCGTCGTTTCATTATGAAAATATTATTTATTGCAATAAATATTAGGAAAATAAACGAAAAATGGCTTCGGATAAGGTACGGATACATGTTTGTAAATTAGATCATTTTATACTTTACCACAAATTTGAAAAAGTAAAGTGTAAAGTATAAAATGATCTCCTCGATTTTGCCGCTTGCTGCTTGCTGTTCGTTCGGTTCAACTTCAACGAACTGCGGCAAAATGTATTTTGCGCCGGAAGTGCGTCATCTAGCTTACATAAAATTCTTAACCAATAGTAACGAATTGCTGCTGCAGCGTGCTGCGCATGAAAAAGTACCTTTACGATTACTAACACTCGCGTCGCGCGCACATGTCTATCTAGATATATTCTTGCGTTACTTGCGTCATGATCATTTATGAAAAAATCAAAATTAAATTCTTATCGATTGATCTAACATTGTGCAAACAATTATGTTATCTGTTTTTAATCTTACACACTTCTTAGGCTGAAATCACACGGTACGGAATAGTATTGCGGAATAGAGAGTGCGTCATTCAATCAACCAATCAGTGCTAGAAAACAAAATGCGGAATAACGCTGATTGGTTGCTTCAATGACGCACTCTTTATTCCGCAGTCCTATTCCGCATCGTGTGATTTCAGCCTTACACTAATTTCTCATCTCATTCACACACGGAAAAAAAATAAATTCGCTGTTTCAGCAAAACTATCGTTGCGCAAAATTAACATCTGTAACTAAGGCTGAAATCACACGATGCGGAATAGGATTGCGGAATAGAGAGTGCGTCATTGAAGCAACCAATCAGCGTTATTCCGCATTTTGCTTTCTAGCACTGATTGGTTCCTTGAATGACGCACTCTCTATTCCGCAGTTCTATTCCGTATCGTGTGATTTCAACCTAATAGCGTTTTCCACTGAGAAAACTGGTGCAGCACTAGCGCCGTGCTACCCAATCAGCATTTCCCAGTGGAAAACGCTATAAGAAACTAAGAGTGGTTTAATGCCTGGTTTATGCTTCGGTCTTAAGGACTTAATCCTAAAATTCAGCCAATAGAGTTCAAATTTCGGTTAGAACTGACAGCTTAATTGGTTGAATTTTAGGATCTTGAGATTAAGACCTGAAGCATAAACCAGGCATAACGAAGAAAAAAAACTTATAGCGAATTCGATAGCCTGCACTAGTGTACACTGAGTGTAAATTTTCCCAGTGCAGCGTGTTCGATCGATGGCCCCTATTTGGTGTACTGTAGTGACCCTCTAATAAGAGTCTGGACACGTGAAGTCCGCCATTATTCGTCGAAATTGTGCGAGAGAGAAAAAATCATGCTATCTCATTCTAGTGGCGCTGTAAGTTGTAGCTGTTTGTAGCTCTACAAACTTCATAGTTTCTGTTTCTGTTTCGTCTCGCCTCATGCATCGTATCATTTTTAAGACCAGGACCATTAATATTCGAAGAAGAAGAAGAATCATTATGATTTATATTATTATATTATTATATTATATTATTATATTATTATTATATTATTATTATATTATTATTATTATTAATTATTATTAATTATTATTATTATTATTATTATTATTAATATTATTATATTATTATGATTAATATTATTATTTATATTATTTTTATTATGCGTTAAAGGAATATATGTTTACATTTTTGTTATATATGTTAAATATAATAATTACAAAAACATTTTTATTAAATATAAATACTGTATATCTAATATACATAAATAATATGAAATATGCATGAAATATTTTTTTCTACATAAATATACTACTTTATTTATTCCCTATTGGTGCTACCTAAGTATTTTTTGTTAAGAATTTTAAAGCATTAATTGTATTATTTACTCGGTACTTCATTAGGATTTTTTCCATATAGACGTTGAATAGCTAAAATGTCCTCTATACTGAGTGTAACGGATTTATTGGTGGCGTAAGGAAACATTAGAGAATCTACGCGCGAATTGTGCGATAATCCTAATGAATGTCCGATTTCGTTCGTTAATGTGTAAAGTAAATGTAGTTTGTTTTCTGATATACTTTCGTTTAATTATATATGCCAAGGTTCCGCTACGTCTACGTGTATCTCAGTGCTTTGCACGGTTTCGCTATAATGTTTTTTTATGTAATTCACATACGTCTGGAATATTTCAACATATGTGGATTTCTTCGGCCATACCACTTTGTGAAGAAGATAGCCTCCGTCAATAACGTACCAAGCATTTTGAAATGTAGGCTTTTCTTGAAGTGGAAGAAACAAATTATAAAAATCAGACTTGGTATTTTTCCGCATGCCATTCTCATCAAACATACTGAGAGGATATGGAGCAAGCTCGTATTGGAAAAACCCCTTCAATTCATCATCGTCTTTTTTCATTAGGCATATCCTTTGAAATAATAATGTTGGGTCAATCGGAACATCTTTAGAGTCAATTTTGATTTTTGATGTCATGATTGACAGTGGCTGGACACGATATTTTCGACCAATTTTTACGTCGCCTATTTTTTTACCGAAAGTCGACTCTACAGCATGCGTTCCAATTTCAAATGCTTTATTACAATCAATTTTAGCATCGGCAACGATACCAGTCTTCAATGACACTAATTGTTCTGTATTGGAAAAAGGTGAATTGTCTTGTAGCCATGATTTCAACTTTTCGAAATTGGTATTGTCTTTTTTTACGCGTGTAGGGCCTCCATCATCGTGCATATCACTCTTATGCTGTTCACTTACCCCAAAAACAGCAACTTTACAGTACTCCTGACAGCTTTGGAATATGTCCACAAAGATTGGCATTGATAAAATCCATTTTGCAATGTCACTGTCATCGGTACCTCGGCCATGAGTAAGTCCTCTTCCTGGATCTTTGAACAGTTTCATAAGGCCCGTTTCAATCGTTTGATCCCCAAAAATTGCACAATAAAATTTATCTGTTCTTCTGACGGAAAAATTTGACATATACCCACTATGTTCTTGTTCACTCAGTTGTAACATTTGCTGAACAAATAAATGGGCGCCCTTCGCATATAAATTATGTCCGGCTGCATGAAAAATTGGCAGCATTTGCGTAATACATGTCAGATATTCATTCCAATAAGTACAACGCGTAGCTTCAATAAATTTTTTTATTAGCGTAACCATCTGGAAATATTGCACCCAAAGCTTACCAGTTGGCATGTTATCAGCAGAAAATTCTTGTAATTTATCATTGAATTTTTTCACCACTGTTTGGTACGCGGCATTATTAAATTCAGGTAAAATATTGGTATGTCCGACTTTTTCTTGCAGTGCATTAAGTAATTCTTTTTCGGCTTGTGTAAAAACAATGGATGATAATATTAAATGCGCTAATGCTGCGTGTATTTGTACATGAGCTTGGAGTGCCCTAGCAAATGCGTGTCCGGTTAAGATATGTTTTATTGAATTTTCCGCATAAATGAGTGATAATATGTCCTTGATTCCACTTCCGTCCATTACGTGTCCTATTGCACCCATATACGACATTAATAAATGAAATCCTCCTAATATTGGTACGACATTCTTCAATCGATGATCTTCTGAAGTTGCGATGACTTCTAATGCTTTCATATACAAAGGCAAATCAAAGGTTGCATAAACGTAGGGGAGATTTGAACTTGCTGCTTTTTCACAGGCTAATAATAAAGAAGTATACACCGTGTCTTTATTTGAAGGAGGTGCACAAATAAATGGCAAACATATTACTCTACTTCGTTGAAATGATAGTTCCGCCGTAATTTCTTCCATAAAATGGTTCCATCCAGTACTTTTTTCGATATCATGAAATTTACTATACAGCCACAAAAAATCACTATCAGATAATTGAATGTTGTTTATGTACTTATTTCCACTCAAATCATACCCATGTAATGTTTGAAAACGTAAATCTTGAAACCGTTTCTCTGGATGTGCTTCAAAATATTTCAGGGATACGACACCTTTTGCGACAAATGTTTCCGATTTAGGTAATTTGTTCATTTTAGGAATGCTCTGATGTTGTATTGCATTATGAGGAACAATTATTTGTATTCCACCCATGCAGTGGAATGTGTTGAATCCATCGAATGTGCAAACATTATGATCCGCATTATCAAATGCGAATTGTCCGAAACATTTCTGCATAATAGGTTCTGTTTGAAAATTTATGGCAGAGGCTTGAAAAAGGGATACTTTAGTGTATGAAGCACACAATCCTAAACTGGATA